GGGACACGGCCTGCACGAGACCCTCTGCTCGGTGCGCGAGAAGAACGACCTCACCCGCTCCTCCATCGACACCCGGTCCGGCGTCAAGGACGCCACGACCGTCCTTTTCTTGCACCGCAACGGCTGACGTTTTTCCTCTGCTTCTCTATACTTCGATAGATGGTGCGCATAGTGTCCTTGATCGCCGGAATCTTCGGTCTCGGCTTCATCGGCATCGCCATCGCTCAGTTCGTCCAGTACGGGCGTCTGAAGAAGGTGGAGGGCACCAACACCGCGCTCACGGCGGCCACCCTTCAGGTCATGTATCTCGCGATCGCGCTGCTGGTCATGGGGCTGATACTGACGGTCCTCGGGTTCGCGACGGCGTTCAAGCACGTCGAAGAGGCCGCGGGAGAAGGCGGACACGCGGACGTGGACGACGAGAGGAACTACTCCCTGGACGCATTCCCCGACTTCGAGGATCGGATGCTGGCTCAGCAGCTGCACAACCTGGACGGCAGGTCCGCGCTCATCAACGCACAGAAGTCCGTCTTGCGGGGCCGGCTGAACGCGGCACGACCGGTACCGGTGGCGACTCCGGCCGAGCATGTCTGAGGACGGCGAATATTATGTGAGCCCGTTGATAGATATGGGGGAGCTGCTCGTACTCGGTTCGCTCTCCGCGATCGCTTTTCTGAACATGCCGAAGCGCGTCGACGAGACTGGGCGCAAGGTGCCACGCCGAGACTCGGTCCCGCGTCCGAGGCTGGACCCGATGCAGGCGACAGAGGTGACGAACGGTCGCATGAGTGACTACCCGGGGGTGTACAAGCGACCAGGCTACTATGCGGAGAACGCGCGGGACTTTGAGCGCAGGGCGGACGCCATGTCAGCAGCATGCATGCCGGCGAGGGAGGGCTTTCATGCGGCGACAGGCGGAGTGGTGAAGGGATACGTGCCGGGGCTGAAGAGGGCGACGGATGTGATAGGCAGCAGGCGAATGATGGGAAGCCAATTCGTGCCGTTCGTCAAGAAGGGCAACACTTACAACAGCTACATCTCTGACAGGACACTGGAGACCTTCACGGGTGGAGACTCTCTCGCGGGCGCTTTCTTGGCCAAGGGTTCGGCGGA